TGATTGCTCTGAGAAAAACGGATTGAAGTAGGGTTGGAGAGGAGTCTGGCAAACCACTTGACAAGCAGCTATAGGAATCCACTTGGAGGTGGTGATAGTTGGATCACACTCTGTTGCCCTTCTTCAGGTCTAGTGCTTTACTGATACTTCATTTTAAGGGTGTCCCCTCTCCTTAGTTATTCTACCTTTGTGCCATATAGACTAATTACTTTTGTGATTTCTGCAGTTGGTTGAGAACTTTCTCCTGGGAATCTTTTTTTTTTTTTTTTTTTTTTTTTGTGGCGGAGTCTCACTCTGTCGCCCAGGCTGCAGTTTCGCTATCTCGGCTCACTGCAAGCTCTGCCTCCCGGGTTCACGCCATTCTCCTGCCTCAGCCTCCAGAGTAGCTGGGACTACAGGCGCCTGTCACCACGCCCAGCTAATTTTTTTTTTGTATTTTTAGTAGAGACAGGGTTTCACCATGTTAGCCGGGATGGTCTCGATCTCCCGACCTCATGATCCGCCCGCCTCGGCCTCCTAAAGTGCAGGGATTACAGGCGTGAGCCACCGTGCTCGGCCTTCTGGGAATCTTAAAAATATTCAAGAATTTATCTTAGGCCAAAATAAGAATGATGATGATGATTTATTGTTTGCCTTAAAAACTCCAGGCCAGGCACAGTGGCTCACGCCTGCCATCCCTTTGAAAAGACTGAGGCAGGAGGATCACGTGAGGCCAGGAGTTCGAGACCAGACTGGGCAATGTAATGAGACCCCTCTAAAAAAAAAAAATACAAAAATTAGCGGGGCATGGTGGTGTGCACCTGTAGTCCCAGGCCATTCAGAGAGCGAAGGTGGGAGGATTGCTTGAGCCCGGGAGGCCGAGGCTGCAGTGAGCTGAGATTGTGCTACTATACTGCTAGTCTGGGCAACACAGCAAGACCCTGTTTCAAAAGCAAAAAACAAAAAACAACTCTAGTTGTTAATTTAGTGAATTTCAAGTTTTGTTTTTTTTTTAAGTGATTAATAGAAAATTAATATAGTGGCTTAGAAATTAAGATTTAAAAGTTTTTAGATTATAGACTGTTTTGATGGAGGAAGTACTCTAATAAAAACTATGCCAGATGGTAGCCATAAGCCCTTGGCCTCAGTGTTGGCCTATCAGGTTTCCAGTTAGTGACTCTGTCCTTATCTCAGTGGCCTTCTGAGGGCTGGGTCAGTACTTGAAACATAAAGAAAACTTGGGGAGGTTCAAAGTGCAAGCTCCTCTGTTGTTTGCAGTTTTGAACATTGCACAGAAAGAAGAGACATTGAATCTTTCCTTTTTTTTCTTTCCTAAGGATTGAGGCTAATAATCATTTTCCTTTCTAATCACTAAATTAAAAGTACATAAGTAAATTACCTTCAGTTGCTAAAGAAGTCAAAACTTCTTATCTTTTTTTTTTTCTTATGTGAAATCACAGACAGTTCTCTGAGAATAGAACAGTGAGTGTATTCATATCGGCCCTGGAGAATAAAGTAATACCAGTGGAAATTGTTTCCTCTTCACTTTACTTCTACTTTTGCCTTATAAATACAGGGCCTAGCCTACCCTGGGGGTAATGACTCAGGTTCCAGCAGTGGTCACCTGTTTTCAATCCCCCTTACCCATTCCTCTTCAAGGTCCTCACGGTGTCAGCTGAAGAATGACAAGGTTCATAAATTTGGAAAGGAGAGCTTTATTTCTTATAAAGGGTTGCAGCCTGCAGGGTGATCATTCTGACAGGCTGGGAAGCATAGCCTCCGGCCAGAAGCCAGAAACAGACACTTGGAGAGAGGGACAAAGGAACAGGAATTTATGCTGAGCAGAGTGGCCGAATACATATTTAATAAGTTAAGGCATCATGAATATTTATGAAAGGAGAAACATGTGCATGCACAATTGAGCTTCATGCAGCTTCCTAGGTCCTGCATATAAAAAAATTGTGGCGTTAGCATGATTCCAGAGTGGAGTTTTCAGCCCTCTGATGTCAAAAGGTAAAGCGGAGGACAGGAAAACCCTTACTGTTCTTCCTCTGTAGACTGGCCAGAACTACTCTGTGGCTGGTGGTCTCTTATCAGGAAGAAATGCTTGTAGGTTGTTTTGTTGAAACTGCAGAATGGAGGGGCAGCAGTCAGGCAGTTGGTTGAGATCAGTGGTGGAGTCTTTTGAAAGGCCTGGTTTCTGTTTAGTCCAAGTTTGTTCAACCTGCGACCCATGGGCCGCATGGGACGGCTTTGAATGCGGCCCAACACAAATTCATAAACTTTCTTAAAACACTGAGTTTTTTTGTGATTTTTAAATTTTTTTAGCTCATCAGCTATTGTTAGTGTTAGTATATTTTATGTGTGGTCAGAACAGTTCTTCCAGTGTGGCCCAGGGAAGCCAAGAGATTGGACACCCCTAATTTAGCCCTTAGAGAATAATGCCTAATGGCATGATGATAATGGCAGTTATCAAGGGAGGGAAGTATAATGAAGTGTATCTGACCGCCCATCCTGTTATAACTGCCTAATGGCGGTTCTAATGGGTTCTCCTTGCCTGATGCCTAGACAGAACCAATTTATCAAGGTGGGAACTGCAATAGAGAAAGAGTTTAATTCATGCAGAACCAGCCGTATGGGAAACCAGAATTTTATTATTACTCAAACCCATCTCACTGAAAACTCAGGGATTGGAGTTTTTAATGATAATTTGGTAGGTAGGGGGTCAGAAAGCGGGGAGTGCTGATTGGTCAGGTTGGAGACAAAATCATAGAATCATGACTCTTCAAAGCTGTCCTCTTGCACTGAGTCATTTCCTAGGTGGGGTCCACAAGACCAGATGAGCCAGTTCATTGATCTGGGCGGTGTCAGCTGAGACATCTATCTCAAGCACTGATCTTCAGTTTGACAGTAGTGTTATTACCCCCAAGAACAATTTGGGGAGGTTCAGAATTTTGCAGCCTCCAGCTGTGTGACTTCTAAACCTTAATTTCTAATCTTTTCTTTTTTTTTTTTTTTGAAATGGAGTTTCACTTTTGTTGTCCAGGCTGAAGTGCAATGATGCAATCTCAGCTCACTGCAACTTCGGCCTCCTGGGTTCAAGCGATTCTTCTGCCTCAGCCTCCTGAGTAGCTGGGATTACAGGCATGCGCCACCACGTCCGGCTAATTTTGTATTTTTAGTAGAGACAGGGTTTCACCATTTTGGTCAGGCTGGTCTTGAACTCCTCACCTCAGGTGATCCACCCACCTCGGCCTCCCGAAGTGCTGGGATTACAAGTGTGAGCCACTACGCCTGGCCAATTTCTAATTTTGTAGCTAATTTATTAGTCCTGCAAAGGTAGTCTAGTCCTCAGACAGGAAGGGGGTTTGTTTTGGGAAAGTTAAACTAAAAACTAAGTTAAACTATAACCTAAGTTCCCGCCAGTGCTGTGGCTTATGCCTCTGATCCCAGCACTTTGGGAGGCTGAGGCAGGTGGATAGCTTGAGCTCAGGTGTTTGAGACCAGCTTGGCAACATGGCAAAGGCCCTTCTCTACAAAGAAATTAGCCAGGTGTGGTGGCGTGTTCCTGTGGTCCCAGCTACTTGGGAGGCTGAGGTCAGCGGATAGCTTGAGCCTGGGAGGTGGAGGCTGCAGTGAGCTGAGATTGCACCACTGTACTCCAGGCTGAGTGACAGAGTGAGACCCTGTCTTTAAAAATCAATCAATAAATAAATTTTTTAAAAAGTTCTTAAGGATTGTTTTCAGTAAGCTGCGAAATATCTTTGTGAAATGCACTGTTCTGACTCAAGATACATTTCTACCTAAAGAATTCTGCTCCGTTTGATGTAGTCAAAGAGTTTTTTCACTGGACACTTTGGTGATTCACACCTTTCTTTCTCTCCTGGTTTTTCTAGATTCTGTGATTGTTAACACCTTTCTGTGTTTTAAAAACCTGAAGTATAACCTTTTAATTTTTTCTTAAATTACATAAATGCATACCTTTCTCATTTGAAATCTGAAATTGTAAATTTGGAAATATAGAGAAATGTTCCAACCTGTTTGTTTATTTGTTTTTGAGACAGGGTCTTGCTCTGTCACCCATGCTGCAGTACAGTGGAATGATCGTGGCTCACTGTACCCTTGACCTCTCAGTGGGCTCAAGCAATCCTGCCGCCCCAGCTTCCTGGGTAGCTGGGACTATAGGCGCATGCCACCATGCCTGGCTAATTTTTAGAATTTTTGTATAGAGATGAGGTCTTCCTGTGTTGATCAGACTGGTCTCAAACTCCTGGGCTCTAGGGATACTCCCACCTATGCCTCCCAAAGTGTTGGGCTTGCAGGTAAGCCACTGCCCCTGGTCTCTTAAGTGTTTTAGTACCTGCCATTAAATAGTCATCATTCTTTATGTCTGGCATATTTTTGTATGATATAAACTTGGAAATTGTAACTTATTTTTAATCTTAGATTGCATCTTAGATTGGATGCTTCCTGAGGTTACCTTATTCCCATTAGTAATAATTTCTAGTGGCATTTTCAAATGTTGGCACACTCTGTTTATATTGTGGGAATTCTTTTTAGAAAGGCATTTTGATTTTCCAGTCCTTTTTCTTTCCTACTTCCTCACTTTCATTTTGATGTTTTTTCTTTTTTCTTTCTTTCTTTTTTTTTTTTTTGAGGAAGAATAGCTTTTAGGCATTTAGGTTGGTGACATGTTTGAATAGACTGAGATCTCCTATATATCTCATTATAATGTCCATGGTTTTAGTTACAAATGAGAAACCATTTGAAGAGTTTTATGACCATGGTTGCGGTTTTTTCAGGTATTTTCAATGAATTGACATTTGTTTCTAGTTTAAACTTTGAAAAGATACGTAAGTGAGACTGGTAAAAGACTAGAAAGCTTACTTAGTGGTGGAGAAAGTTGTCAAATATATATGATATAGTTCCAAATAAAAATTATAGAATATTTTCTTTGTAGTTGTCTGTTCTGTTACTGATACAGATTAAGACTAATACTGTTTTTCTTCTTAATTTTACAGAGTTAATAGAGTGGATACAACCTTTCTGAAGATGAAGAATATACAATATTGAGGAGATTTTTTTCTTTTTTCTTTCAAGTTTTGATTTGTGGCTTGTCTCAAGTTACCACTTTTCAGTCAAGTCTGTTTGTTTGCTTCTTCAGAAATGTTTTTTACAATCTCGAGAAAAAATATGTCCCAGAAATTGAGTTTACTGTTGCTTGTATTTGGACTCATTTGGGGATTGATGTTACTCCACTATACTTTTCAACAACCAAGACATCAAAGCAGTGTCAAGTTACGTGAGCAAATACTAGACTTAAGCAAAAGATATGTTAAAGCTCTAGCAGAGGAAAATAAGAACACAGTGGATGTCGAGAATGGTGCTTCTATGGCAGGATATGGTAAGATAACTGTAGAATATTTCTAGTCTCCTCCGATCCCTATTTAAAGATGGTCGTGGAAATTGAACTTATTACTTTATTCATAGGTCTTGCAAAGTAATTTTTTCTTTACTTTTTATTATGAAAATTTCAAATATACTGAAAAATAGAGATACTATGATAAATATGTACATATTCATCATCCAGATTTAACAGTTATTAACATTTGGCAACATTTGTTTTATCTAAGTGTTGAAGAGTGTTTGTAGAAATTGTGACATTTCATTGCCAGATATATATCGCTAAAAAAAATGTATCTTGGAGGCCAGGCGTGGTGGCTCACGCCTGTAATCCCAGCACTTTGGGAGACCGAGGTGGACGTATCACGAGGTCAGGAAATCGAGACCATCCTGGCTAACATGGTGAAACCCCATCTCTGCTGAAAATACAAAAAAAAAAAAAAGCCAGGCATGGTGGCACGTGCTTGTAGTCCCAGCTACTTGGGAGGTTGAGGCAGGAGAATGATTTGAACCTGGGAGGTGGAGGTTGCAGTGAGCTGAGATCGCGCCACCACACTCCAGCCTGGGTGGCAGAGTGAGACTCCGTCTCAAAAAAAAAAAAAAAAAAACAAAAAACCAAGAAAAACCAAAAATGTATCTTGGCCTGGTATTGATGGCTCACACCTGTAATCTCAGTACTCAGTACTTTGGGGGGCCAAGGTGGGAAGATTGCTTGAGCCCAGGAGTTTGAGACTAGCCTAGTAGCCTAGGCAACATAGTGAGACCTCTACTAAAAATACAAAAAAAATCAGCCAGGCATGGTGGCGGGTGCCTGTAATTCCAGCTACTCGGGAGACTGAGACAGGATGAGGCAGGAGAATTGCTTGAACCCGAGAGGCAGAGGTTGCAGTGAGCCGAGATAGTGCCACTGAATTCTAGCTTGGGCAACAGAGTGAGACTGCATCTCAAAGAAAAAAAAAATTAGCCAGGCGTGGTGATACACACCTTTAGCCTTAGCTAGTCAGGAGGCTGAGGTGGGAGGATCGCTTGAGCCCAGGAGGTCAAGGATACAGTGAGCCATGTTTACACCACTATACTCCAGCCTAGGCAAGACAGTGAGACCTCATCTCTTAAAAAAAATGTCTTAAAAAATGACCTCTTTGGACATAATACAATACCAGTATCATATCTAGTTTATGTTTAAATTTTCCTGATTGTCCCAATATAAGCCATCAATTGTATAGCATTTATTATTTCCTAAGAAGCAGGATTTGCCTATATATCTCCAGTATTGTTTATTGCTATTCTCCCTTCCACATTACTGGGTCCTGCTGTGTTTTAAGTTTCTTCTCATGACATGTTATTTCTTTCCTTTAAGACTTAAAAAGGAGAGAGAACAGATTGTATGGTTCTGTCTGGAACAATGTATATACATGAATGTGTGAACATTTTCTCTATTTCAGTTTTGTTTGTTTAATTAAAAGTTATGGCTGGGCACAGTGGCTCACACCTGTAACCCCAGCATTTTGGGAGGCTGAGGTAGGCGGATTGCTTGAGTCCAGGAGTTTCAGACCAGCCTGGGCAACATGGTGAAACCATTTCTCTACAGAAAATACAAAAGTTAGAGGGGCGTGGTGGCGCGCACTTGTAGTTCCAACTACTTGGAAGGTTCAGGTGGGACAACTGCTTGAGCCTGGGAGGTTGAGGCTGCAGCGAGGTGTGATCACACACCACTGCACTTAAGGCTGGGTGACAGAATGAGATGCTGTCTCAAAAAAAAGTGATACATGCATGTATTTAAATAATCAAAATATGTTATGATTCCTGTAATGAAAAAGGGCAGTTTTTTCCACTCACAAAAGTCCTCAAATTTCCTGTTCTTTGGAGCCACCCATTTTAAATTCTTTCATCTCATTTTTTTTGGTGATTATTTCTGTATCTAAATAATATGCCCTATGAGCTACTTTTAGATTTTTCCGTTTTAGGTGTTATCTGTTAACTTCTCACTATGCAAGGTGAGAGTTTAGCTTTTTTTCTCACCTAAAAATGCATTCCATCCACCCCCCAGGCTGTTGTCACATCCATATCCTTCTTGTCCTTTCGTTTTCCCTTCATAATTTTGTTTAGAATAATATTCAGTATTTGTACTATTATGACCATGTTGATGGTATTCATTATTGAGCCATGTAAATGCATACCTCAGAGATACTGTGGATTCTGTTCCAATCCACACAATAAAGTGAATATCACAATAAGCAAGTCACACAGCTCTTTTGGTTTCCCAGTGCATATAAAAGTTAAGTTTATACTGTACTGTAATCTCTTAAGTGTGCAGTAGCATTATGTCTTAAAAAACAATGTACATACCTTAATTAAAAATGCTTTATTGCTAAAATATGCCAACAATCATCTGAGCCTTCAGCAAGTCATACTCCTTTTGCTGGTGGAGGATCTTGCCTTGATGTCAAAGGTTGCTGACTGATCAGGGTGGTGGTTGCTGAAGGTTGGGGTGGCTGTGGCAATTTCATAAAATGAGACAATACTGAAGTTTGCCACATTGATGGACTCTTCTTTTCATGAAAGTTTTTTTTTTTTTTTTTTTTTTTTTTGTAGCATGGATTATTTGATAGCATTTTACCTGCAGTAAAACTTCTTTCAAAACTGGAGTCAATCCACACAAATCCTACTGCTGCTTTACCAATAAATTTTGCATAATATTTAAATCCTTCGTTGTCATTTCAACAGTGTCCACAGCATCTTCACCAGTAGATTCCATCTCAAAAAACTACTCTTTCCTCTTCCATAAGAGCAGCTCCTCATCTGTTCAAGTCTTGTCATGAGATTACAGCAATTCAGTCTCATTTTCAGACTCCACTTCTAATTCTGCAGTTACTTCCTCCACTGAAGTCTTGAACCCCTCAAAGTCATCCATGAGGGTTGGAATCACCTTCTAATTCATTCATTCATTCTTGTAAATGTTGACAGTTTTACCTCCTTTCATGAATCATAAATATTATTAATGGCATCTAGAATAGTGAATCCTTTCCAGAAGGCTTTCAGTTTACTTTGTCCAGACCCATCAGCTCTGGCCTTATGAAATGTATTTCTTAAATAATAAGACTTAAAAGTCCAAATGACTCCTTTATCGATGGGCAGGAGAATGGATGTTGTGTTAGCAGCCATGGAAACATTAATCTCCTTGTACATCTTCTTCAGAGCTGTTGGGTGACTGGGCACATTGTCAAGGAGCAGTAATATTTTGAAAGGAATCATTTTTTTCTGAACAGTGGGTCTCAACAGTAGGTCTTAGTGGGCTTAAAATGTTCAGTAACTCATTCAGTAAACATATGTTGTCACCCAGGCTTTGTTGTTCCATTTATAGAGCACAGGCAGAATATATTTAGCATAATTCATAAGTGCTCTAGGATTTTCAACATGATAAATGAGCATTGGTTTCAACTGTAAGTCACCAGCTGCATTACCCCCTAAGAAGAAAGTCAGCCTGTCGTTTGAAGCTTTGAAGTCAGGCATTGACTTCTCCTCACTAGCTATGAAAATCCTAGATGGCATCTTCTTCCTATAGAAGACTATCTTGTCTACACTGAAAATTTGTTGCTTAGCGCAGCCACCTTCATCAATTATCTTAGCTAGGTCTTCTAGATAATTTGCTGCAGGTTCTCCATTAGCACTTGCTGCTTCGTCTTGCACTTGAATCTTACGGAGATGGCTTTTTTCCTTAAACCTCAAAAGCAACCTCTGCTAGCTTCCAACTCTTCTTCTGCAGGTTCCTAACCTCTCTTAGCCTTCATAGAATGGAAGAGAGTTAGGGTCTTGCTCTGGATTAGGCTTTGGCTTAAGAGAATGTTGTGGCTGGTTTGATGTTTTATCCAGACCACTCAGACTTGCTTCATTTCAGCAATAAAGCTGTTTTTCTTTCTTATTATTCATGTGTTCCCTGGAGTAGCACTTTTAATTCTCTTCAAGAACTTTTCCTTTGCAGTCACAACTTCACTGTTCGGCACAAGGCCTAGCTTTCAGCCTATCTCAGCTTTCAACATGCTTCCTCACTAAATTTAATCATTTCTGGCTTTTAAAGTGAGAGAAAAGGGACTCTTTCTTACACTTGAACACTCAGAAGCCATTGTAGGGTTACTAATTGGCCTAATTTCAATATTGTTATGTCTAAGGGAATAGGGAGGCCTGAAGAGAGGGAGAGAGACAGAGGAAAGATCAGTCGATGCAGCAGTCAGAATACATGTAACATTTATGAATTAAGTCTGCTGTCTTATATAGGTACAATTCAAGGTGTCCCAGAACAGTTGCAATGGTAACATCAGCAATTGCTGATCAGATCACCATGGCAGATACAAGAATAATGAAAAAGTCTGAAATATGATGAGAATTACCAAAATGTGACAGAGACGCAATGTGTTAGATACTGTTAGAAAGATGGCACCAATAGACTTGCTCCATGCAGAGTTGCTGCAAACATTCAGTTGTAAAAACACAGTATCTGTAAAGTGAAGTGCAATAAAACAATGTATTTCTCTATTACATTATGGTTACTTTCCTATAAACTTTCACCCTAGAGTTTAATAAGTATTGATTTTTGCTTCTTTGCCTAGTTTTCTATGGCATCCCCCTACAGTTGTTTAAATATTCTCCTAGCATATTCAGACACATTAGGCCTTTTAGCACTTCCTGTATATTGAAGAAGTCTTTCCCGATGCCTTCCAATCAGCTCTGGCCTGGACTGTTTGCTCTCTATAGGATTGCAGCAGTGAATTGTTTTAAGATCACAATTTGTCATCATCTTGTAGATTTATTTTACTCCTCTATTATATTGGATCTCCTATTTTCTAGAAATTTTTAGCTTCCCCTTTATTGGTTATCCCCTGATTTTAAGGGACTAGATCTTCTGGTAGGTTCCTGAGAAAGATGCAGATAGGTAAAAGTTTTGAGTTCTTACATATCTTGAAAAGATCTTTTTTCCCTCAACCCTCATGCTTCATTGTAAGTTTG